GTTCTTGAGTAAAATATTTTTGAAAACACATCTAAATCACCTTACTTTCTCTGTCTCCTTTGCATGTCACTAATATTATATTATACAGCTTTTACCAAGACAAACAAACAAACAAACAAACCCAAAAAAGATTGGGCTTGCGAGATGTCTCAGTCCTTACAGTGCAAGCACGAAGACTGGAGTGAATCCCTAGCATCCACTCAGAAAGCCCTGGGAGGCAGGCAGCAGACCTGTTCCAGCTGGGCACACAGGCAGAGGATGGGGCCCTTGGACTTGCTGGTCAGAAGTTTAGCTGAACACAGTGAGCTTTGGATTCAGTCAGAGACCTCATCTCCAGAAACGAGGAGGATGAGGAAGGTCTGACACACACGAATGTGTGTGTCCCTTGCCTGGAGAGTTAGAGCAGTCTCCCCCACTGCACCCTCCTCTTCCCTGGCCCTGCAAACTGAGATATAAGTTGGGTTAGCAAGAGGCACATGGGGAATGTAAACTGTCAAGCTTGTTGTAATTTGATATAAAAACAAAAATTCTTTTTTTTTTTTTTAAATGTACTTGGTAAGTTTTATGAGCTCTTTTGTGACAGTACTCAGGATTGAACCTAGGGCCTCATGGATGCTCTACAAGATTCTACCACTGAGGTAGTGCCCCATTCTTGATTATGGGGTTTTATTGACAGATGGCCTAACATGGCACATCATCAGAACAGAGATGGACAGTTTACCTATGTTACAACATTATCAAGTCCAGCTGTAGCATGAAGTACAACATTGGCTATCTCTGGAGCACAGCTTCCTAGTGCTCTCAGAAAACACTTCCCAGAAGATTTCCCCACAGTGATGCTGATCTCGTTTTAATCACCACTAATTTCTCAGCTCTAGCTAACCAGCATCAATAGTCCCCATAATCCCTTCTATTCTGGACTCTATAGCCAGAGACACATGGCTGAAGTTGCTGAGTTCTCCTGCTTGCTGGGGCTGGAACATGCCCCCCCTTGTTCTACTACATTATCACCCCAGCTTTCTGTTTTCTAACTCCTTCACTTGGCTGTCCTGGAACTTGCTCTGTGGACTGACTTTGAACTCAGAGATATGCATGACTGTCTCCTAAACACTGGGACCAAGCCTGGATTTAAGTTTTTCTTCGTCTAGAATTTGCTCTGTTCTAGGCTGGCCTTGAACTTGAAGATCTGTTGGTCTTTGTCTCCTGGGATTAAAGGTGTGTACCACCATGCCTGGATTTAAACAGCTGGGTATGATCTTGCCCCAAAGTTCCATTCCCTTAATCTGCTATTTCCTAGAGTATGGGATTCAGCTGGATTTCACTTCCTGGTGCTCCTTTAATACTCGAGCCACATGTGCTTGCTACACTTGTTCAAAATGCTCTTCATGAGACTTAAGCAAAGAATAAAGTCTATGATGGGTGTTTTTGAGACTTCCTTTGTCAATGCAATTAATCTGAGTCTCTTCACCTTAGCCTCAGACAAGGGCAAAAGCAGCCATGTTCTTCACCAAAATACCACAAAAACAGTCTCTAGACCACATATTGAAATTCTTTACTGAAACCTCTTGGGCTAGGTCCACACAATTCAAGTCATTCTCAGCAACAAAGTCATTCATATTCCTATTAGAATAGCCCACTAAGCCCCAGTTAAAGCATTCCACTGCTTTCCAAATCCAAAGTCCCAAAATCCACATTCTTCCAAACAAAAGCATGGTCAGGCCTATCACAGCAATACACCACTCTTGGTGCCAACTTTTGTCTTAGGATTTTCATTGCTGTGCACAGACACTATAACCAAGATCTCTTCTTATAAAGACAATATTTAATTGGGACTGGCTTATAGGTTCAGAGGTTCATGCCATTATCAAGGTGGGAACATGGCAATATCCAGGCAGGCATGGTGCAGGAAGAGCTGAGAGTTCTACATCTTCATCTGAGGGCTGCTAGCAGAATACTGACTTCTAGACAGCTAGGATGAGGGTCTTATAGCCCACACCCACAGTGACATCCCTCTTCCAACAAGGCCACACCTACTCTAACAGGGCCATACCTTCTAATAGTGCCACTCCCTGGGCCAAGCATCACACACAACACAGAACTGTAGTTGTTTTTAAGAAAAAGCTTATGGCTGGGCATAGTTTTGCATGTCTATAATCTAGCACTCAGGAAACTGAGGCAAGAGGATTTCAAATTTGAGGCCAGCCTGAACTAGCTCAAACACAGAGAAAACCTGCCTCCCTACACAGAAGTGTAAGTTAAACTTACAGATAGCTGTCATTAATTCTACAAAAGAAATTCAGAAAAGCAGATGGGAAAACGATCATTTCAACTCCTTGTGATTTCAAAGGAGGTTGAATTAAATAATGGAAACTTTGAATTATATTTAACACCAGTTTATTTTTTAGAACAGCTCACGTCTTATACAGGCCTTTTGTGAATTAATGAAATAGCTCATATATTTTATTAAACATGTTACACACTTAACTTAATTCTCTCAGCTCAGTAGGCAGCATTTTGCTGTCTATTGAGTTCATTGTCTGTCCTTCCCAGTTGAATAAACATTTCTTGAGACCATTTATGCTTTATTCATCATTGTTTCTCCACTGGCTAATATGGGAGCTGACATCTATTACTGGGTCACTGTATTCCGCCTTCTAGCCTGGCAAACACTGCAGCCAGTGTGGATGGGGCAGGACCACCATAGTGACTGCCTATTTAGTGTACGGTGGCTTCCTGTTTCATCTTACAGATCCTGCAGTGTCTCTGAGGAGAAATTAATTCTGCCAAGCTTAATGAGCACCAAAAGTGAGAAGACCTCTTAGATACCTGTGTTCTTCACTCCCAGAATCACTTCCTTCTCTGAGATTTCACATGCAATGTCATGTTCTTGGTTTCTTGTTTTCTTCTTAGATACAGTTGCTGGTCCTTGGCATTTCCATAGCACTGGAGAGTGGAGATTGTGAGTGGAAGTTTAGGGACCAGCTGTGCATAGTCAGCTTCTCATTGGCTATCAAAAATATCCATGTCTTAGAGAGGGATGGAACCCTAATAGGAGGAGTAACCTGAGCATCGAGACAGTATTTTGGTAATTGTGAGATATGGGCCCAGTCAAAGAGCAACTAGGAGTAGAAACCCAGCTGTGGTTGATCCAGGTGCTTTGGCATATCCTGTTCATTAACTTGATTTTTTCAGAGAGCTGTGATGTGTTTCTTGCATTTGGGATACAAGTAGGAGGCTAAGTGGTTTCCCATTGCCATGCTGTTTAGTAACAGAAAAGTTCCTGACATTCTGAGTGATGTTGAACGACAGGGTCTGACTGCTGTCCCGGTGCTAGGGCTTGCTGTATTATTGCTCTGCGTAGGAACGCCAGACTGTGGGTGGTTCTGTGGATTTGTTCCTCCTAGTCTTTTAGGATAAAATACTCAGCAGAGCTTGTATCCGACACGAAAACTATTGAAAACACACGACTTTACAGAAAGTGACTTTAAGCTGGAATATATTTTCTCTATGATGTGTATTTATAGACATTATCTTAGATATCTCTTTTAATGTTTCTAATTTCAAGAACTATAGCCAGTAGTTTTTAATGTGTTTCATGCTAGACATATACCTTGTGTTATATTCTGCTAGTCTCAACTGTGGAAACTGTTGGTGGGGTAAGGTGAATGTCTTGCCTTCAGTCACATATCTTAAGAGGTAGTGATGTATTTAGCTTCTATATACTTCTATATACTGTAAATATGTAAATAATAGAAACACATGTCTACCTTAATAACTGTCAACTACTGACTGTTAATCCACAATGCTGGACTTAGCACACTGCTTATGGTAATATAACTTGTGTGAACTTCTTTCATTTACTACTGAAATAATAATCATATTTTTGAAAATGTTATGAAACATTTAGTAGAAGTACCAGATTCTGCTCTCCAAGATGTCTGTCTGTCTGTCTGTCTCTTCATTTCTTTCTGCGTGTGTATGTGTAATTTCTATGACCTGATGAACAAATAGGTGCATTCCGCCGAGCCCTCTTTGTATTGGTCCTGCTCTGGTTTCACTGGCTAACCAGTTGTGCTGTTTGTAAGTCTGTGGGGAGGAGATGCCTGTCTGACTGAGCTCACAGTTAGGACATTCCAGGATTGTGTATCTTAACTGGAAATGAGTATGTTTTGTCACTAGTTAAATGGCAACTACTTTTTCTATGTTTTCTTGGGGCTTTTAAATCTCTGTTAAGTTTCTTAAAAAATGAATATTCTCCAGAAAATTAGAAATAAAAGTGTAATTTAAATGGAAAAAGCTGGTGTTATATAAATATCTTGGAATAGGAGCAACAAGGAAATGAAGTGAGGTCACATGAGTCAGGGTCACAGGTCAGAGTTCATATGACTTGTGTGAGGTCACATGAGTCAGGGTCACAGGACAGAGTTCATATGACTT